CCGAAACGTCAGCTTTCCTACTCCTCTGATGCTGTTTGGCCTGCTGTGTTCATCCAGCTCTACACCTTGTTATCTCTAAAACATTAACTCTGTTTTCTTTCCACAGATGGTGCTAGACCTGCTGAATTTCACCAGCACTTTCTGTTTTTGTTGCAGGTCATTGATATTACTTGGGATGAAATACCTATGATATCCAGGAAATGTATAAACAGAATTTTTTGCACAGAACATAGGTTCAATAAAGTTTGAATGCAAACAAAGGAGGTGAACACTTTCAACTCTAAGGTTTAGGTTTGAAATCCACCTAAATTAACAGGAAGAAACCGTCGACTGTCTACTTACTGCAACAATCCTAAATGAAATAAGCTTGGACAGTCTCAACCGAGTCCATAGTGAATGCAAGCCCATAGTACAAAACTGATCCTGATTGCATATACAACTGAAATATGTTTTAAGGGTGGCTAATGCCAAAACAAATCTCACTGGTTAACAGAGGCTACTCATATTCAACAGGATGGGGATACGCAAGTTTGACGAGCTATGACACGAGATGCTTTTTTTTGCAAGGTGTCATTTTTCATCCAGCAATGTGTGAAATAAAACATTCCAGGGAATTTAATAGCTCATACAGCCACCGACATGGTTTCTGGGGCCAAAAACCACTGCCAAAATGATATGGTCTGCAAAATTCTCTACATGTCAGCTAACATAACATAAAACATAAAGACTGCTTGCGGCTGAGACAGAAGTCTGAAAGTTTATTAACATCACTAACACAGAATCCCTCAGTGTGGAAACAGGCCCTCTTCCCAACAAGTCCACATTGACACTCAGAGCATCCCACCCAGACCCATTTCCCCTAATCTACAGAGACAGTAGGAACTGCAGATGCTGGAGAATCTGAGATAACAAGGTGTAGAGCTGGATGAACACAGCAGGCCAAGCAGCATCAGAGGAGCAGGAAGGCTGGCATTTCGGGCCTAGACCCTTCTTCAGAAATGGGGGAGGGGAAGGGGGTTCTGAAATAAACAGGGAGAGAGGGGGAGGCAGATAGAAGATGGATAGAGGAGAAGATAGGTGGAGAGGAGATAGACAGGTCAAAGAGGCAGGGATGGAGCCAGTATAGGTGAGTGTAGGTGGGGAGTTAGGGAGGAGATAGGTCAGTCCAGGGAGGCGGGATGAGGTTAGTAGGTAGGAGATGGGGGTAGGGCTTGAGGTGGGAGGAAGGGATAGGTGGGAGAAAGGACAGGTTACGGAGGCGGGGACGAGCTGGGCTGGTTTTGGAATGCGGTAGGGTGAGGGGAGATTTTGAAGCTTGTGAAGTCCACATTGATACCATTGGGCTGCAGTGTTCCCAAGCGGAATATGAGTTGCTGTTCCTGCAACCTTCGGGAGGCATCGCTGTGGCACTGCACGAGGCCCAGGGTGGACATGTCGTCTGAGGAATGGGAGGGGGAGTTGAAATGGTTTGCGACTGGGAGATGCAGTTGTTTAGTGCGAACCGAGCGTAGGTGTTCTGCAAAGCGGTTCCCAAACCTCCACTTGGTTTCCCCGATGTAGAGGAGGGCACAACGGGAACAGCAGATGCAGTATACCACATTAGCAGATGTTCAGCTGAACATCTGCTGGATGTGGAAAGTTTTCTTGGGGCCTGGGATGGGGGTGACGGGGGAGGTGTAGGGGCAGGTGTAGCACTTCCTGCGGTTGCAGGGAGAAGTGCCGGGTGTGGTGGGGCTGGAGGGGAGTGTGGAGCGGACAAGGGAGTCACGGAGAGAGTGGTCCCTCCGGAAAACAGATAAGGGTGGGGAGGGAAAAATGTCTTTGGTGGTGGGGTCGGATTGCAGATAGCGGAAGTGTCGGAGGATGATGCGTTGGATCCGGAGGTTGGTGAGGTGGTACGTGAGGACGAGGGGGATTCTGTTTTGGTTGTTATTGCGGGGAGGGGGTGTGAGGGATGAGTTGCGGGAAATGCGGGAGACACGGTCAAGGGCGTTCTCGACCACTGAGGGGGGGAAGTTGCGGTCCTTGAAAAACGAGGACATCTGAGATATACGGGAGTGGAATACCTCATCCTGGGAGCAGATGTGGCAGAGGCGAAGGAATTGGGAATAGGGGTTGGCATTTTTGCAGGAAGGTGGGTGGGAAGAGGTGTATTCTAGGTAGCTGTGGGAATCGGTGGGCTTGAAATGGATATCGGTTTCTAGGTGGCTGCCAGAGATGTAAACAGAGAGATCCAGGAAGGAGAGAGAGGTATTAGAGATGGTCCAGGTGAACTTAAGGTTGGGGTGAAAGGTGTTGGTGAAGTGGATGAACTGTTCGAGCTCCTCGTGGGAGAACGAGGCGACGCCGATACAGTCATCAACGTAACGGATGAAGAGGTGGGGTTTAGGGCCAGTGTGGCTACGGAAGAGGGATTGTTCCACGTAACCTACAAAGAGGCAGGCATAGCTTGGGCCCATGCAGGTACCCATGACCACCCCCTTTGTCTGCAGGAAGTGGGAGGAATTGAAAGAGAAGTTGTTGAGCGTGAGGACGAGTTCGGCTAATCGGATGAGGATGTCAGTGGAGGGGGACTGGTCGGGCCTGCGGGACAGGAAGAAGCGGAGGGCCTTTAGGCCATCTGTATGGGGAATGCAGGTGTATGAAGACTGGATGTCCATGGTAAAGGTGTTGGGGACCAGGGAATTGGAAGTTCTGGAGGAGGTGGAGGGCATGGGTGGTGTCATGTACATAGGTAGGGAGTTCCTGGACCAAGGGGGAGAAAATGGAGTCGAGATAGGTGGAGATAAGTTCGGTGGGGCAGGAGCAGGCAGAGACAATGGGTCGACCAGGGCAGTCAGGTTTGTGGATTTTAGGAAGGAGATAGAAGCGGGCAGTGCGGGGTTGGGGAACGATGAGGTTGGAGGCTGTGGGTGGGAGGTCACCTGAGGTGACGAGGTTGTGGATGGTTTGGGAGATGATGGTTTGGTGGTTGGGGTCGTGTCATGATCAAGGGGGCAGTAGGAGGAGGTGCCAGAGAGTTGGCGCCTGGCCTCAGTGATGGAGAGGTCGGTGCGCCATTCTACAACTGCGCCTCCCTTGTCTGCGGGTTTTATGGTGAGGTTGGGATTGGAGCGGAGAGCTGCACGTTCCGTGGGGGAGAGGTTGGTGTGGGTGAGAGGGGTGGAGAGGTTGAGGCGATTGATGTCATGACGGCAGTTGGAGATGAAAAGGTCGAGGAAGGGTAGGAGGCCTTGGGGTGGTGTCCAGGAGGAGGGGATGTGTTGGAGGCGGGAGAAGGGGTCTGTAGAGAGAGGGTTAGGCTCACGGTTGAAGAAGTAAGCGCAGAGGCGGAGGCAGCGGAAAAACTGTTCAACGTCCAAGCGTGAGCGGCATTCGTTGATGTGTGGGTGGAGGGGGACAAAGGTGAGCCCTTTACTGAGGACTGACCATTCGTCTTCAGTAAGGGGGAGTTCTGGGGGAATGGTGAAGACCCGGCAGGGCTGGGTACTATTGTCTCCTCTGGAGCTGCTGGCTGTGGAGGCGATGGGCGGTGCGACATCAGCGTCGGTGGTGGGCCATGCGGCGTCGGCTGTGGGCGGAGTTACGTTGGCATCGGCAGTGGGTGGAGTTGCGTCGGCATTGGCGGTGGGCGGAGTTGTGTCGGCGTCGGTGGCGGGCGGAGTTGCATCGGCGTCAGCAGTGGGCACAGTTGCGTCGGCGGAGTTGCGTCGGTGGTGGGCAGAGTTATGTCGGCGTCGGTGGTGGGCGGAGTTGTGTCGGCGCTGGGCGGAGCAGGGTAGGCGGTGGCAGCAGTGGTGACGGTAGGTGCGTCCTCAGTGTCTGTGGTGTTGGCCTCAGAAATGGAGGCGGTGGCACCAGCAGCTGTGTCGATGGCACCCGCCTGCTCCTACCCCACTGAACTTATCTCCACCTATGTTGACTCCATTTTCTCCCACTTGGTCCAGGAACTCCCCACTACGTCCGTGACACCACCCACGCCCTCCACCTCCTCCAGAATTTCTAATTCCCCGGTCCCCAACACCTCATCTTTACCATGGACGTTCAGTCCCTATACACCTGCATTCCCCAAACAGATGGCCTAAAGGCCCACCGATTCTACCTGTCCCGCAGGCCCGACCAGTCCCCCTCCGCTGACACCCTCATCCGATTAGCCGAACTTGTCCTCACGCTCAACAACTTCTCTTTCAATTCCTCCCACTTCCTACAGACAAAGGGGGTGGCCAT